TCATTACTGTACAGAAGCACCGCGAATACGGCTGTTTTCAGAATGGTGGTGTGTAGCCGTTCTTATAGTCTGATCCGTCTATATGCCATTCAGTTTTACATAATTCGTTGATACCAGTCTAAAACACTAATTTAATTTATAATCAATGTCAACATTGTTAGTCAACACCGTTTAGAGGTGCCTGAGACGATCCACCTCGTCCATCGTAATGCAATCCCGTATTATCCTCGAGTTAACGGTTACAGCCTTTATATATTTAGACCAGTTTCTGAACGTTTCTTGATGTGGAAGGCCATCTTTTACATTTGGTTTGCTCCATTCGGTGTCTTCGATTAAGGGTGATGGCTGATGATGTCTTCTGGTTTTTCACCTGTTCATAAGTAGTTCTAAGGCATTGTTTCTAAGGCTGTACGGTCGAAGAACATATTTTAAATCTGATTTTCTCATGCATTTGTGAGTAACATTTGGCATTTAGGGTTTCTGTTACAAGTAATGGTGGTGGAATAAATTCATTAGAATTATTGAATATGACTGACCTGAGGTTGTACCTGAATGTACTACCGGTGGGCTGACGAAACGCCCTGGCCGTAAAAGTCTTTCTATCGACAATATTTGGTGCCCTGAATCATGAACAAACAGATTAGCTATAACACAGAACTTTTTTTATCTAAATTTGGTACTTGTTTTGAATTCGGGTACCTGATCTTTGAAAGCACTGCTTTCTGCAAGTGACGTCGCATTGCATGTGGTGTCTAGTGACGGAAGAATATTCAGAGACATTCTCTATTTGAGCGATATTCCTCCGTTTTCATAGATCTGGTACACAAAAACAGACAAGTTGAGCTGTTTAACAGAGGTGCTCTTACGTTCGACATGTCATCACTTTTGAAAAATACGAAGCATCACGATCCCGCGCTGCAAATGATCCATCTTAAAGCGTGATACTTGACAGCAGACGGCTGAAAGGGCGAAAGAAGCTATTTTTCTTGAAAGAGATCACTTTTTTGAACGATAACGACCTGATGATTTTCGCTGTTTTGTCGTTTTACCCCTGTCATAGATTTGAGCAGGACAGCAATCTTCCTGCTGTTAGTGTACCGAAGTAATCGTATATTGTCAGTGTGCCAGAGCTTTGCAGTACAACCAATATTTTTACCTGGCAGCTGAAAGTTGCATAAGCGATCTGCATGCTTGGTTGACAACAAACGGAAGTTAAGCCGTTCGTGAGAAATATTAGCCTC